AAAAAGCACAGCTCTCAGATGCAAAGCGAGCAGACAGATCCTGGAAACTTGTCTGAAGGCCCCTCTGAATGGCCTCCACCGTCTTGCTCTGGTCTTTTGTTACACACCGATGCCCCCTGCTGGCTGTTTGGAGAAACAGCACTGCTTCCTTTTTATTGTAGCAACAATCATGCAACATAAACTATTTAGGATTTGTGTTTTCTTTTTAAAGGACTGAGGTTGTTATGATTACAGCAAAGCAGTGTGTGTAGCTCATATACAAACGCTGTGAGGATTTTACGATTTGCAATGGACATAGAATATTCAGACAATGGGTCAAATAAATCTGTTAGATTCAATAAGTACCTTTCGATCAACTGTACAACATCTCATCATTTAATTATGTTTGTTAAAAATAGAAATGTTTGCATTCTTCTGCTCTGTTGTTTGTAAGGTAACAATACAATTACCTTAATGTCCAGGTTTTGTCTTAATCTTTTACATACCTGTGATGCAGACAAAGCTTTCTCTTGTAGTACACTTTGTGCATATTAAATCTCATGGCAGAGCGCCAACAGAAACCAGTCGACCGTTGTACCGTCACACTATCTCACTGTGCTGTTTGTTATCATTCAAAGCTTCTTATTACGCACCCTAGCAACTAATACAGGTGTGTCCAGGACCCACCCTGAGGCCATGCTATGAGTCACTTCAAATGTCTGTGTTGTTCTATCTGACTGTGAGTGAGAGTGTGTCTGTGTGGGTCTCTGTGTGTCTACAAACTGGCTGGTGTATACCTGATAATATCAGAGAGGTGTGCCAGAGGTTTCACACAGCTGTGAGAAATTCTGTATTTATTTTTCCTTTTCACAGTAAGATATGTGTAGCCTATCTGTAGCATATGCTGCTGATTTCTTTTTAAAAAGTCTTGAGCATTATCGCAGGAGAACAATGTTGTCTCGTATAAATAAAGTTTTAGTGGTTCCAAAGTCTGAGTCTCCTATAACTTAGGAGTTAATGTCAACTTAGATAGTGTTCACAGAAAAGAATCATGAGCTGTGTACACAGTTTAAGTATATGCACAACCACACAAAGATACAAACATTAATGCGCGCACACACACAGTAGAAAGCCTTCAGATAATCTACCTGCTGATAAGCAAATATTAGAGAAGAAAAGGCGGTAACAACAAAGTTTTCGAAGCGCTAAATCACTGTGGAAAGGCCTCTGATGTTGTGGCTTTTATTTCCCATGACATCTGAAGTCATGCCCTGTATATAATTTGGGGAGATTGGGACAATATAATGACCGGAGGAGTGATTACAAGGAAATTCCTCCAAAAGGCTGTACATTTAAACTGTGTTTTTCTAAATGAGTGTCTGGAAAAAACAGACTTTTCTAATACAAATAAGGAGCTATCTGGTTTATAGTAATCTTATCGAGGAAGTTACTGAATAAGATTTACTTAAAATTATCAAATCTTGAAACAGTAATTACATAAATATGCAAACAAAGCTCCAAAAGAGTCAATACACTGTGGTTTCTTGACCCATCATCTTTTATATAATTGGGGGCGGTCATTCGTCACTGTATTTCATCCTCTGTATGTAAATGTATTTTTTACATAGTTAACATAAAGATCATTGTTTAACATTTACTATATTTCATGACTGAATCATCTGGGGTGAACTGGCAAAGAAGCAGTGAAGAGATGTATCTATAAAGCCTGGAGAACCATCTGTATAATAACAAGCTGCAGGGTAAAGTCAGGACACAAGGTTAATAACCCGAGATGTGTCAGTTGTCTGCAGTTCAATAAACCAGATGTCAGTCTTTAATTTCTCACTGTTTATTCAGTAAATGATGTCAGTGCCAGAGTCTGGAAATGATAGCACACACATGTTTACGAGCAGGTCACTCAGTTATTATTAATCATTTGACTTAATTCATGAGAATTAACCTGTTGTTGCCCTTTCGGGGTTTTGGATTCATCATATTTCATTTGGTCACACCATGGGGTCACACATATCAAGTGAGTGTTTTTACAGTCCAGATGTCAGTTTTCTGTGTATTTCCACAGGGCATGCACAAAAAAATAAAATCTCCTGTTTACAACCAGGACCCGCACTGGGATTTTTGGAAAGCAAACATCAAGTTAAATATTGACTCCCAAGTGGAGGAGAAAGCCAGCAGCGGCTTTATTTTCTCCTCAAAGTGGCCTTTACACACAGAAAGTACAGTTAGAGTGACACATAAGTCATAAAGGAAGATAAGCCGTAGGGTGTTTCCAGTGAATGACAGATGAGTATTACTAAATCTGACTGTAGAACCCTCCCTGCAGCCTTACTGTTACTTAAATCATCTATAAAGACTCTTGTCTTGCAATACACACAAAAACAAATACTAAAAGAACTGCACAACAATGCCGTTATTTCTAAGGTTTTATTATAATAAGAACAACCCCTCTCTGTTGGAGAGCTTGTTAGAAGGGGCTTGGTTCCACTTAATTGCTACTATCCTATTATAAAGTACAGAGCGGTTCACTGTCCTTCTATTCAGTCTGTTTTTTTTTTTTTGGCACATAGCTGAACTTAAGATGAAGTTTGTCAAATTGTTCATGTTCAATCTTGCAGTGGCTTTTGTTTGGAACCAAAAAAAAGGCAAAGACATAACGCAAACTCACATTGACCAGTGGGAAAGCAAGGTGTGTCCTTAGGTGTGTGTGTGTGTGTGTGTGTGTGTGTGTGTGTGTGTGTGTGTGTGTGTGTGTGTGTGTGTGTGTGTGTGTGTGTTGCAGCGTCTGACGCTGGTTGTTCAAGAATTTGGCGTTATAGTATGAGGCTGTCGTCATACATTTGAAAGTTAACCTTCAATATTGAGCACAGACAAGTCAAGACAAGTTTTTACAAATAAAATATTAATTCATGAACATTACATTTGAAAAGTACAACTTTTTGTTCTCTCTTAAATGGTTTGAAAATTCCAGTTCAGGGCGTTGGTTTCTTAAAGTTGTCAGATTAGTTGCAACCCGTAAGCACGCCCCCCCCTCCCCTCCTATCTCACTCTGTCTTCACACTTCACTGACAGTGTGGTGGCACAGGGTTCTGTGGAAATAATTCAGTCTTTAAACAAACAAGGGCACAATATGGCTGTTAAAACGAAAGGTAACAAAGACTGAGCTAATTGCTAAAGACAAAAAGATTTCTGGCATTAAATACAGATATATATATTTGTTGCCAGTAATTCTATATCTTTCCTAGAGGATCCATCTTCTCCACTTTGGCAACTTTTGAAACAGAAGTTGGCAAAAATACTTTGGGTTCATTGTTAATTGTTTTCTCTTCGGACATTTCACCAACCTTTACTTTCCCACATACTTAAGAAACTTTGTCTCACACTGACACAAGGTATGCATGACTTTCCCTCCTGTCTACTTGTCCCTTTCACTTTTCAAAGCTCAGACACGCCTACCTGTGATGTGCCCAGTCACCCAAGGAATGAAAAGCTAGTACAGAAGTAAAGGGAAATGGGAAAATAAAACATTTATTTGGTTTTACTTGGTGGTTTAGCTATACAAAACATTCAATCCTCAAATGGACTCCTTTTGACCTCAAGAATGTGAAACTCTGGATGACAGATTCTTTGCACAACCACTATCTCGTCTACTCACTCATCTGGAGAACAAATGTGGGGGCTGCTGTATTCTTTTTTTTTTTTTCAAACTGGACAAGAGTTTAAAATGAGTCCACACTGATTTGGACGACATTAACATGGAGACAATTCTGCACTGACGACCCAAAGCAATCACATCAGAGGTTTAAAATACATGAGAGGGCACACAGGCGGGGGTTAATTGCTCACAAACAATTATCAAAACATATAATTAAGGATTTTAATTTTCATTTATATAGGCTTTATATTTATTACAGGGAAAATACAATGATCCACAACACTGTGGATGTGCCAATATTAATAAAGAGGCAATATCTGAACTCTTGTCCCCTTGCCAAACTTGCATTAGCAATACAAATAATAAAAAGCTAAATGTAATAACAGGAAAAGGCATGGTTGTAGTTTTTGGCTGTCGAGTTGGATGTTATTCCCAACAAAGTTTAATCTTTAGGCTCATTTAAGAAATAAATCACAGGAGAAGAAGTGCTGTTGTACAAGAAAAAGCATTAATAAATACAAGTGAATGAGAAAAAAATAGATTCTTGTGTTCTTTTTTTTTTAAACCACTCACTTTGCTCCAACACAACTTGTTTCACTTTACTGGAGCAAGATTTAGCTGTTTTGGGACTTGACTGTTTCCAAGCAACACTTTTTATTGCCTACTTGCCAATTCCTGCATGTCCACACTTTACTGCAGACCATCTACATTGTATACAGTATATATATATATATATATATATATATATATATGTATATATATATGTGTGTGTATATATTTAACTTTTACATTTAAATCATTAGCATTAATGTACATCTGTAGGCTACACCTTATATCATAATATTTATAGCTTATTAGCTCGCAATAACACAGCAAGACTCAAGTTTTCCACCTTTTTATTATAGGCTAAAGCCTTTTTATTTAATTTGTAGTGCTTGGTTTGAACGTGGCAGAAAATGCTTAAATAGTAAAATAAGCTGAACTCCTAATTTAAGTAACCTCCTTCACCTCTGAGTCTCGTACAACAGGTTATAACACATGTTGTAGCTATTTCATCCAAAAACAACTGATCATTCCAAGTATTGATTGCAACATAACTCCCCTTTGGATTTTCCAGTGTAAATTGACTAATCTTCTCACACGGGCCGAGAGAGCACAGGAGCGACTCATAAACACAGAAAGGTGTGGTTTCTCTCCAAAAGAGCCCCGCTTCCGTCTATTCACAGCAGAGCAGCACTATCTGCGTAACAGGAGACGGGGAGGGGAGAGTCGCGCTCTGTCCTCTGTCTGGACAGCAGAGCAGACGACTTAAATTAACAAAAAAAAAGACTTTGAAAGAACATTTGCAAACATGAGTACGTACGGCTCCAACCCAAGGTTGGCTCAAATGGGGCCGAGAAGTAACTCGCGGCCGGATTTGGCGAGTCCGAGTTTGAGAAACGACGTTTTTGTCGGTGGAAACGGCTTTCATGGAGACTTCCAGGGAGGTGAAGGCGGATACACCTACACCACCTTCTCCAGGTCCTCCATGCACGGAGGGGGGGGCGGCGGACAGAAGGTGCACGTTAGCGTGAGTGGAGGCGGAGGTGGTGGAATAAGGTAAGAGGAAGAAAAACACCTGTTACTTTTTAACGAGTCTTTACTGTGCTTCAATTAACCGTTAAATGTAGGCTACGTGTAGTCCGTGACGTAGAAACGTACAATTACAAGTAGAACATTTACAAAGCTAAAAAAAATATAGATATAAAATACCAATGCGTTGACATCAAGAAGCCTCTGTGGCAATTTGATCTGATTGAAACCGAAAGATACGTTCAGGAATGCAGGAAAGTAGTTAATATTATAAGCTCTAGGCTGTAGCTCAAGTGATGTTGGGCTACGTACAAGAACATAAAACTGTTCTCTTATCAGTCCAAATTCATCCCAGACCCTTTTAAAATATTTTCTTTTTTTGTTTTTCACAATAGGCAATGTGTTTCCAGGTGACCCTCATTGTAACCCTCCTTGCCTGTAGCCTGTTAATGGAAGAAATATTTGCACACACCCCTAAATGTCCTCCCACTACTATCATTCACTATGATGTCAGTGTTAATGTTGAAGCAGTGAGGTCTCTGTTGCAAGAGCTTCCAAACTACTTCCTTTTTTCCCCCAAGAGTCCTCTCAAAACTGCTTAACTCATGTTGAACAAAGTCAAACTTAAGGAGACTATAGAGAAATCATATTAAGATGTATGGATGAGTTTCAAGCGCTTTAAGAGGAGAAAGTCCAGAGCTGAAGATTTGTTGGTTAACCTAGTTTTTGTAGTGGTGACCCTTTGGTGACCCATTCCCCAAACATCCTATAGCATGACCTTCACAAACAATAATAGAGGATTTTTTTTTTTTTTAAGAATAATAAAAATCTGCTTTATTTGATTTCCACACATTCTACACAAATACAGGGATGATTTAGCTTTAAAGGAAGTTTCATCTGTTTAAACATCAATTTCTGTTAAATTGAGTAAGCATTATTAGTTACCTGAAGCCATGGTAAAAAGTTATTTAAAACAAAAACATTTACCTGCATATCAACACTTTTAAATGATGACATTTTTTTATTGTAAAATCTGATTTCTTTCTAATTAACTACCAAAGAGTGTCACCTACATGTTTTTAAGCATAGTTAACAAATGAATATTACTTAAAGCTGTATACGAGCCTGAATTATCTTTTCTCTTTTGTAGTGTACAGGCTATTCAGCAAAAGGCGATGTTTCTAACAGGCCAGTGTCAGGAGTACCTGCAGCGGGCAAAAATGGTTCTTCAGGGTGTAAGTATAGCTCAAAAGTTTACACTGAAAAATACTGATATCAAATGTAGATATAAGCAGATACTGTCCTCAGGAAAATAATGCATCATTTAGAATATATCTGTACTCTGTGGTTTTTTTAGGGAGGTCCGGCAGCAGAGGGAGAAAAGTTTTTGAACATGGCTGCAGAATCCATGGACCATATGAGGGTCTGTGGCAGAGAGCTGCAGCAGTTGCGTATACCCAACGATGTGGGCAGAAAGTAAGACAATGTGCAGTGTGTGTGTGTGTGTGTGTCTGTGTGTGTGTGTGTCTGTGTGTGTGCATGTGCGTGTGTGTGTGTGTGTGTGTGTGTGTGTCTGTGTGTGTTTGTTTGTTTGTTTGCTGTCTTTCCAAAGGTTCATTCATGACTGTATATGTATTTGACTACACCTGCCTACAGTTTTAGCATGGGTATATTAACTACATTTGCAAAATGTGCTTTTGGTTGAGCAACGTCTGAATCCTATTTCAGTGTTAAACCATAACTATAAACAGATATGGAATTTCGGACAGGACAATTCTTCTCCTTTAGCTGTTTTTGACCATGTGGAGCTCTTTGAAGTTGAGCTTTGATTCCTCTTGAAAGATTCAAAAGTATTTTCCTCTTTTTTTTTTGTTCGTCTCAATCAGCTTAGACCAGTTCCAGCACATGCATGCCTCCATCCAACAGCAGCTACTGGGTGGTATGACCACACGACGGAACAGGGGCAGCGTGGGCTCCCTTGACGGGGGCAGGGTCTTTAATGATGCGATGGCCTGGATTGCACAACAGAAGGTGAGGTTTTCATATCTTTAGAAGCAAATGTAAAAACAAAACAAACACACACGATATGCTGAAAACAGTATAGCAATAAGAACTATTTCACTAAGTTGATACACGTTACAGTTTGGTAAATGAATGCCAATCTGTATGTTGTCATATTCTAATACTGACTTATTATTAGCATCTGCACACTTGTCTGACTGTGATACAACACTTCAAACCTGTTGGAGCAGTGTGAATGGTCGCATCTGCATGTGTGTGCATGCCTGTATATGTTGCGCTAAGGTGCACCATTTTTTTACGTGACTGGGCGTGGGGAGGGGGAGGGGGGGGTAGTACTTACACTATCACGTACTCTGACCTCCTGTAACTGATACCATCTGGCCATGCTGCCAAACCTGTTCCATGAGTGAAAAGAGGCCAAGAGAGGTGAAGAGGGATTGAAACAAAGAAGAGGAAAGAGCTTGGCCATATGAGAAACAGAGAGAGAGAGAGAGAGGGAGAGAGAGAGACAGAAAGGGAAGCAGATAGAGACTTGGTTGAAGCAGAAAGAAAAGTAGAAGTAAAGGAGCGTGATATCTGACACTGTACTGACTCACTTGTTTTGGGACGGGGCCGTTCAGCAGATTTCTAACATGCTCATGGGAAAAAAAACGCCCTTCAGCAGTCTACCTCCCCAACCCTCCCACCCAACTAAAAAACACACCCTGTCATTCTGTCAACACTTCAAGCTTCACCCTTCTTATTTTGTCATTCGCTTTCCCCGTGTCATGTAATGTAGAAACATTTCTTCATATAATTCTGTGTATCAGTCATTCTACTTAAGCTATTTTTTATATTTTTAAGCTCAAAATCCATAAACATGTCATTTGAAAACCTGCCATTACCGACCTCTGTCTCTGTGTTCAGCTGATTACACTGTCTGCCATTGTACCTACAGTCCTACTGAGCTTTACATAACTTTGTTGACCTTTCTCCCCGGCACATTAACTTCACAGTCGAAAGTCTCCTGACAGATTTGTTGTGTGTATCCTCTGCCAAGTAACCATGGACGGAAGGGGAGTGGTGAGAGAACAAAAGTCTTGAAAAAAGGAGGGCAAGAGGGAGAGAAAAAAAATGCACGTAAAGAGCAGGAGGGACCGGCTGATGTTGACTTACTGGCAGAGAGCTTATCACTGCTGAGGGCTGCAGACAAGGGGGGAATAGTTGGGATTGTTTCCTGCTGACAGTGAACATGATTATTTGCTGACACCTAGTGGACAAAGTAGGGACGGAGATAGATTTAAATTCTGGAAAATGATAGAAGGGAGGGAATTGTGTAGCTTGGATTCAAAATCATTTTACACTAAGAATACAGACAGGATGTTGCCCTTTTTCTAATCTTATAAATAAATAAAAGTATAAGTCGATCAAAGTATTTCCTGAATGGAAAAAAATGCAGTAAGTTTACAGCCTGGAAACTAAAAAAAAGGTGACAAGCTCCTACAATTCAACAAACAAGGGCATCATGGTTCAACTAAAGGCTAACTATTTGTTATTTTAAAGCTGAATATAGCCAGCAAACCAAAACTCCAAACTCACTATTCACTCTGCCCAGGTGTTAAGGAGCTTTTTTTTTTTAAAAAAAAGAAAGAAAACAAGTAAAAAGAAAATAAATCATATGTTTGTAACTTGTTTTTAAAGTTTTGTATTGGAAAGAACAAATGGCTTTAGGTCCCAAGACCTTTTGATTTTTGCCTTTCTGGAGTTTGTTGATAATTAAAAGAGAAACTTTGTATTTGTATATATACAGTATACTTCCTTAAAAACTCCTTTATATTCCATGTGTTATTTTCCTTCAACTAAACTTGTATCTGATTTTTTTTTGTGAGGGAAGTAGTGGTTTTCTAAAATACACATGTTACAAATATGATTCTGTATTCTTGTAGCGCATGATTGAGACCGCTCCATTTGGTGATGATGCCGAAGCCATTGATAAGCAAATCATGAGCCACAACAAAACCCACAGCTCCATCCAGAGAAGTCAGGAAGTAGACCGAGCCAGAGACGAACTGGTAAGTCGTCTTCTATTCACTGTTTCCTTGATTCTTTAGCTCTTTGAAGATGTCTTTAGTTTAAAATGTTTAAGCCTAATGATTGGTTTGAGATGTGTTGTTTATTAAAAATGAAATAATCTGCACTCATATTATTTGAAATAAAATGAAAAAAAAACGAACTCTATTTCTTTTAGCATTCAAGGTCTGACAAGTACAATCTCTCAATACTGGAACAAGAATGGGACAGTCTTCAGGTATATCCCAACTCTAGCTTTTTTTCTTTAACCAGCAGATGTGTTTTCTCTAGCTTCTGTTACTTTTTTTCTAATTCCTAAATTTAACTTCTGCTTTAGAAAATTTCAAACAGCCGTGTGCATCAGCTGCGTGAGCTTCAGAGCATCATCGAGGAGATCTCCCGAGCCATCATGTGGGTGAATGAGAGGGAGGAGGAGGAGCTGGTTTTTGACTGGGGAGACAAGAACATCGATCAGTACATCCCTAAGAAACAAGAGAGCTACTCAGTAAGGATCCTTTGCTGAAGCGATTGTGTTTTAATTAATTGTACTGCTAAAATCTGAGTTCGGTGTGATGGCTCTATCCTGCTGGATCCATAACTCTCTGTTCTGGATCTCTTTAGGGTCTGATGAGGGACCTGGAAGAGAAAGAAAAAGATCTGAACAAGCTGAAGACGAAAGCGGATGGACTCCTGAACAACAACCATCCCGCCTCAGATAAGATTGAAGTAAGACCCTTAGTTTTTTGGGTTTGATGCAACGCAAGACAACAAATGATTCAGTGGTTTTGTACTGATGACTGAATGTGCCCACAGGCCTACATGGACACTCTGCAGACCCAGTGGAGTTGGCTTCTCCAGATCACCAAGTGTATTTCTATGCATTTAAAGGAGAATTCTGCCTACAGCCAAGTAAGTGCTCAGACCAGATTTTTCCCTTATCTAAACAGAGCCACTTTTGTTTTCATGTGACCACTTTCTAAAACATTTTTGCTGTCATTTTCAGTTTTTCAAAGATGCCAATGAGACCTATGCAAAGCTGCAGAAGGAACATGAGGCCATCCGAAGCAAGTTCACCTGCGACAAGAACACTCCACTGGAAAATCTCACTGAGCTCCTGAAAAACCTGGAGGTAGCATTTCACTATCATAAGTCCAGGAAATGCATGTTTCTCTGCAGGTTTAAACCACCAAATATGTTCTGTGACCTGGGTGAAAACAATTTGCATGTCTGGTGAACAAGTTTGGCCAGTTCTTTTGAAAGGCTTAGTGGAATGGTAATGTGTGTCTGGTTTCATGTTTCTAAAGTTTTGTTTTTTAACTGTAATGGTAGCTCCAGGTTACAATGGCATATTTAAAATAGGACTGATTTCTTGGATGTTCACAGAAAGAGAAGGAGCGTATCATTGAGCAGAAGAGGCAGGTCCAAAGTCTGGTCAACAAATCAAAGTCCATTGTAAGGCTGAAACCGCGCAACCCTGAGGAGAAGAGCAGCAGCCCTGTGATGGTCCAGGCCTTGTGTGACTTCAAACAAGACCAGGTGGGTTATATGCCTGCTCCCTCTGTCACATACACGCACGCAAATACACAAACATAAGCACAGAATATTAAGCATTAAATGTAAAGTCCTAAATATCGCAAATATTTTCTGATATGTCCAATTTGTGTTACAGAAAGGAATTTTCAAAGGGAACGAGGGCATCCTGAAGGATAACTCGCAGCGCAGTAAATGGCTTGTGACAGGACCCGGAGGTCTGGACATGTTGATTCCCTCTGTGTGTCTGCTGATCCCCCCACCAAACCCGCTCAGCATCGGCCTCGCCAACAAGTAGGAAACATTCAGTCATTGTAGATTAACCAAGCTCAAGTTAAGATGGGACTGTTCAAAATGTGTCAGCCAAAGCAGATAAAAAAAAATGTTCACAACACACTGTCTCTTTTGTTTATCGTGTGGCGTTTGCATAGTTTTGTGTTAGCACTAAGAGTGATAAATGGCTTGTGCTGTTCACCAGGAATGAGCAGTATTATGAAGCAATCATGGGTATCTGGAATCAGCTCTACATCAACATCAGGAGTCTTATCTCGTGGCAGTATTGTGTCAAAGACATCAACTACATCAACTCCCTCACACTCAGCATGGTAAGTAATCACAAAGAGTGCAATTAACGTCTTTTTACAAAAGCGTTTGCTGAGTGCTAAATTGAATTGTATGTTAAGCTTTTCTAGATTTCGTTTCTGAAACATGGTCTGCATTAGTTTGCTTACTTCCTGTGTTTTTTCCTTCCCTCTCTGTTGTCTTGCAGCTGTCAAAAATGCGACCAGAGGAGTACCGCAGCATCATCAAAAGACTGGAGACTCACTACCAAGAGTTCCAGCATACCAGCCAAGGCTCTGATCTGTTCGGGGAAGATGACAAGATGAACATCCAGGGCTACTTTGACAAAGCCCAGAACCACTATGACACACTGATAATCCAGCTGCCTGCTTACAGTGAGTTCAAACTCCCTTCACCTTATCCCTTAACTGTCAGTTCACTAAATCATTTCAAATCCTGCTGTTTGTATCTGATATTAAACGATATTCTCCATATTTTCACCAACAAATAAAGGAGATGAAGGGGCGAAGCCTGAACCCTCCAAGCCTGAACCCTGCAAGCAGGATACTGTCGTCAAGACACCTGAGGTCAAGGTTACCACCAAGCCTCCCACCCCACCGACCTCTACCCTCAGCCTCAGCCTGCTCAGCAGTCTGCAAGAGATCCGTCGCAGGCTGGAGCTGGCAGAGTCTGGTCTCACCAGTCATCTGCACATTCCCCTCGGCGAGAACAGTGTGCACGAGTGCACAGTGCACATCCAGAAGCTTCAGGTACTTATCTTTTAATTTAGTAGACAATCTAGCGTCAAGTGAGAATTTTTCTTCGCTGCAAAATATTGCAACTACTGGAAGAATGAAACGTTGAATATACATATATATTACCAAAAGAAAAATACTAATAAGTTTATATCATAAATAGCACTTTGTAAAAAGTCCCTAGCTAAACTTTTAAACTCTGTTTCAAAGACATTAAGAAACATCAGCACATGTTGAATTAAACTTTTTGTGACTTTACGCTATCTAGACTGTGCACCAAGATTTGGACTCCATTCATGACGAGTACCTGCGCCTTAGAGAAAAGATAATAAAGCAACTGGAAGGTTTACCAGCCGACTCTGAGCAAGCCAAGTTTCTCCGCACTGAACTGGAAATCATCAACCAAAAGCTTGTAGGCCTCCAGGGTCTCTACTCAGCCTACACTCAAAGGTATGTCAATTTAATCTAATCACATGCCCTTTTGTTGTCTAGCAGTGATTGAATTCTGTACATAAAACGTTACTTCTAGTACCTGCGGTTGTAGCAACATCAAGATTTACTTTGTATGTAATGGGATATCATATTCCATCATCAAATGTAGATACTGTATTAAACGAAATGGCCTTGTGTCCTGAACAGGCTGTCAGCTCTTAAGAGCTTACTTCAAAGCCTTCTCCAGGCTGAAGATATCATCAAAGTCCACGAGGCCCGGCTGACAGAGAAGGAAACCTCCTCCCTGGACCTTCGTGAGGTGGAGAACTATCGGAGCACTCTAAAGGTTTGACACAACTTCAGTATTATGTTTAAACTTATCTGTTCAGTCACTTCCACTTTCAAGCCCTATGCATCAAAATGCAAAATGTACTGAGCAACTTGATGAAAATAAACTTTCAAAATTCATTTCTTATCTAGGAAACAGTAATTGAGTCTTTGCCATCAGTCCTTAAGCAGCATTTAGCAAAACAATGTACCTTAATACATCGTATGTGTGATGAGCTCATTTAATGCAATGGACAGTTGAAAATGATGCAAAAGAAAACTAATTAGGGAAAATCTGCAACATCACTAAAAAGAAACCAACACATTTTGATATCCATTATGTTTCTGTATTACAGTCATTTATAAATACTAGTTATTTTGCACAATATGCATTGAGTTGATGTATTTAGATACCTTTAAGTTAATCCTGCTTACTTGAATACTTTTTCAATGCAAGGCTTTTACTTGTAATTAAATAATTTGATAGCTAATGGCCAACTTAATTTGCTGATGTAGACCATGAGGTTTGAGTTTGCTTTGAATAGGTGTTCTAACTGTTGAAGTTGTAACCTCATTAATCACTGTATTATTTATGTACAATAATGTCAGAATCCCGTTATGTATGCATCAGCACAGCATCTGCCTGCAGATCTAAATCAGTATTGAATGGGATGTTAATACATAGTATATATTTTGTGATTCTTTATAAAAGCAAATGAAGAGTGATCTGGAGCTAAAAAGAGACCTGTTGACAGCCATGGAGTCCGACCTGTCTAGAGCTATACAATGGAACGGTCAAATCTCAGATTCCTTCCACAAGTGCGATGTAGACCTGTCCAAGTACTCAGATCTGGTGGGTCAGATGTCCGACCGTTGGCGCCGCATCCAAACCCAGATTGACAGCAGGTAGGGTAGTCTGTACACGTACACTCTTTTCCTCCAATACCTGTGAATATTTTCCATTTCCTTAATAGACCACTGCCGGTAACAACACTGTAAACATCCTGTCATCCCTTCCTCTGCCTCCCACCTTTTCCTTCCCTAGAGTGTGGGATCTGGAGAAGCAGGAGAAACAGCTGAAACATTATCAGCAAAGCAGCACTTCCCTGGAGCAGTGGGTAGACAATGCCAGGAAGCGCCAGGACACCCTGCAGATGGTTAAGCTCAACGATATCCAGACTCTAATGGACCACCTCAACCAACAGAAGGCACGCATTTCTTTCTTTGTCAACACATACTTTAAATGTCAACTCAACTTATTTGACTTTGAATCGAAAGAAAATTAATCCAAACAATGTTTTTTCTAGTATTGTGTCATATTTTTGTCTTGATTATTTCTTTAAAGAAAAAGAGACTAGACAGTTTGAGGTCACATTCAAGATTTGAGATTTTTGCATGTTTGTTGTTGTTTTTTGTGTCAATGAATAAAATAAACTTCATTGAAATAAACTTCATACTTAAACCAATATAACTTACACATATAAACTAAATAAGCATTGAATCAGGGAATTTAATGTCTCCCATCCTTTGTATACCACACAGGCACTTCACACAGAAATCAAGGGAAAGAAGGAGAAAGTAGAGGACGTGCAGAAAAACGCAGACACCTGTGCAGCCTCCATAAAGGTATGTAGCCAATTAATATGCATTGTTTTCTTTGTATTTCTATACATAATTTATATTCAGACATATTACCATGTTTATGGGCACAAGAAATCATTTTAACAAAGTCTAATAAAGTCTGTATTTTATTATACTTTCAGGACTATGAGCTGCAGCTGGCTTCGTACAGTTCAGGCCTGGAAACTCTTCTTAACATTCCGATCAAGAGAACAATGCTTCAGTCCCCAGCTCTGTAGTCAGACAAGAGGTATGAGTGATCTCTCTCCTTTCATTCACATAAATGTTATGGTGAAGCTAACACAGTATGTTTAAAGGTTAATCCCTTCATTTGATATTTTAAAGATCACACTGGTACGTAATGAGCTCATCGACATTTTACATCAGTATTAATCCAATTATTTGATCTCCATCAGGCGGCTGACATCCAGTCCAACTACATTGAACTGCTTACCCGCTCCAGTGACTACTACAAGTTTCTTGGGGAGCTGCTCAAGAACATGGAGGAACTGAAGGTAGATGGAAGATTTGGATCACACCTTTTAGGATCATATTGATATGAGCATACAATCCCATGATTGTTAAATAAAGTGCAACATGAACTGGAGCTAAATGAACCAAAAGATTACAAATCTGACCGTAGCTTCTGTTTTTGTCATGGCTCTTTTCAGATCAGGAACACCAAGATCGAGATGCTGGAGGAGGAACTGAGGCGTCTGAGGGAAGACCTCCAAGATCGCAACCAGAAAAACAAGGCCCTGGAGGATGATTTGTCCCGCTACAAGCTGGAGCTCAGTGAATCCAAAAATCAGCTCATTTCTATGGAGGAAGTCAAGAGAACCACAGTCATGCAAGTTAATGCTACCAAGGAAAACCTGGACAGCACAAACAACCAGCTCCAAGATCTTAATGACCAGCTGACACGCATTAAGTACCAGCTGGAGGAGGAGAAAAGAAAAAGAAGGTTGGCAGAGGAACGCTACACAAGTCAGCAAGAAGAATATGAGGCAGCGGTGCGTCGCAGACAGAAGGAGCTGGAAGAGCTCAACTGGGCAAAGATTGACCTTGAAAAAACTGTGAAGGACAAGGAACGTGAACTGGAGAGGATGAAGATACTGATGGAGGAGGAAGCGACACGCCGAAGAAACGCTGAGTCAGATATTTCAAAGGTAAGAACACAGTGCACCCAGGAGATTAATCAACTTAAGCAGACATACGAGACAGAGATCCACGTTACCAAGACCACCATCCTGAAAGCCTCACAACAGAAAGAAGAGGACACCACAGAGCTGAGACTAAGGATTGAAAGACTGACTGCTGAAAAGAGAGATCTGGAGCAGGAGCTGATGAGAATGAGGCAGTCCATTGCTCACACAGAAGAGCAGAGGAGCAGAGCAGAGCAAGAGGTCAGCCAGCAGAGGGCATCAGTGACACAAGAGACAAGGATTCGCAGCGAGTTGGAGGTTAAGCTGAGAACGCTCATGAATCAGAAAGGAGATGATGAGATCAAACTAAAGGAAGCCACCAAAAGTAATCAGGAAAAGTCCAGAGAGATCAGCGTACTGACATTCAACCTGGAGGAGGAGGGGAAGAAGAGGAGAGCTATGGAATTAGAAATCAATCGCCTGAGGCAGGCTGAGGCAGATCTGAAGGCAAAGAACACATCACATCTGGAGGAAATCAACATGCTTAAAGTGTCCGAGCAGGAGATCCGCATCACTCGAGTAGAGCTGGAGAAGCAGACGAGTGAGAAAAACAAGGCCGAGCAGAGTTCTTCCAGGCTGCAGAGCCGCATCCGGGAACTTCAGGGATCTCTGGATAGACTGGAAGCTGAGTTGGAAAAACAGAAGAAGGCAACACAGGAGGAGTTCACACGTAGAAAGAGAATGGAGGCAGAGTTGGAGAGGATGACACACACTTGCAGAGAGCACACCACCACAATTAGCACACTGAAATCTATCCAGATAGAGGCATCCAACTCTGGGAGGAAGTATGAACAAGATGTCAGCGCCCTCCAGGCCGCTCTGGACAAGAGTCTAAGGGATCATAGAGTCACCAAGGATGAACTGGCAGCTGTCACAGCCGAGCTGAGGGCACTCAAACAGAAACTCCAGCAGGAAGAGAATCGAGTACGTGAACTTAACCAACGTAACGAGAGCCTTTATAAGACCATAGAGGAAAAGAGCCGCCAGCTTAATGAATACACCACTGAGATCGAGAAGCTGAAGACTCTGACACAGAACCTGACAAAGGAGAGACTGAGGTTGGAGGAGGAGCTGAGGGCAGTGAAACAGGAGAGAGATGAGCTGAAACTGAGCAAAGATGCTATCGATGGAGAAAGCGCCAGTCAGATCTCGGCCATGCATGTCCAGCTTCAAAGTAGCACCAAGAAGACAGCGGAGCTCCAGACTCTCATCAATGACCTGACCAGAGAGAGAGAAAAGCTTAAACTGGAAATTGACAAAATCAAAAAGCAATCTATTGAGGTACTTTTGGTTGCATTGAAGGATCATCTCCACATAATTCAACAACACTTGTTTACTGCCTGCCTGCTTTTGCATGAATGGTTAAAAATGTATTAAGACTAACCCTAACCCGGTTTCAGGTAGTCTGTGACATGTGATTTCTCAGAGTTTTGCATGAAATTCATCTGCTTATCTATGCTTTTACTGAGATATGCATCTTTATGTTCAGCATATTACTTTTCACATAATTTGAGTAAACTGACAACAATAACAGTCACTTCATACTCAATGAATACTAACTGATTTAATAAGGACATACCTCTCTATACATATGTCCATGATCAATCAGTGCAATGCAAAATGACAACTGCTTGTTTTTTCCTCAAACATTCAGTTGGTCTTCACAACAAACAAACAAACAAGAAACTAACTATCCATGAATGAAATACTTTATGCTTACAACATGCTCCTAAAGTAACCCCTTTATACTTAATGATTCATTAATCACAGTTTTCACTCTTTGCTCTGTGCATCACCTTTCTTTTTCTGATCAGATATTAATTTTTTTTTTTTTTTTCTTCCCAGACTTCCATGATTGTACATCAGTCCCAAAGCCAGTTCAGTGAGATAGTGCTGGAGAGAGACAGTTTGCTATCCAAGCTTAAGCTGCTGGAGCAGGACAAGTCCCGCATGCAGCGTCTAGAAGAAGAGCTCAACCGCATCAAGATTACACTGGAGACTGAGATTCGCAGCAAACAGCGCTGCAGGATGAAAAGAACGCAGTCCTCAAGATTTCAACTACATGAAGAGCCAGTTTGAGCTCAGGGACGGCAAGATTAAGCAGTGTGAGTCAGACAGAGACAATCTTGATCGAGAGAGGCTCTCTCTGAAGAATGAGATCGAGAGGCTCATGAGAGAGTTAAAGAGCGTCGAGGAGAGGTACAAGAGTCGTCTGTTTAGCTCAGAAAAAGAGGCAAAAGAACTGGCGCTCAAGAGAGATGCATTGGAGAGAGAGATTCTTAGGCTGCAGCAGAGACCTTGCGCCACTAGCAGGCAAACCCAGACTGATGAGAAGATCCCAACGATTAATCCATCCAAGCTGATATTTGATGGAGTGCGCCGCAAAGTCACTGCCCACCAACTTTGTGACTGTGGCATAATAAGTAAAGCCACTTTAGACCAGCTACTGAAGGGAGAAAAGACTGTGGATGAGGTAGCTGTGGACATCCAGCTTAGTCTGAAGGGTACAGGAGTCATCGCTGGCATGACGACAGGCTCCCAAGGAAAAATGCCCTTCACTGAAGCGAAAAACAAGAACCTCCTCAGTCCAGAGAGCGCCCTTATGCTCTTGGAAGCTCAAGCAGCAACAGGTTACATCATTGACCCCGCATTTAATGAGAAGATGCCTGTGGATACTGCCTGTTCAAGAGGGATCGTAGACACAGAAGACAGAGACACCTTGGTGAGAGCCGAAGCAGCGAGTACAGGCTTTAAAGATCCATACACTGGCAAAGTGTTGTCCTTGGGTCAGGCTTGCAAACAGGGCCATGTAGACAAAGACACAGCTGTCCGCCTGCTCCAAGCTCAAGAGTCTGTTGGAGGCATAATTGACCCTGTTCTGAGTGTCTACCTTCCCAAAGATCTGGCCTTGGACCGCAATCTCATTGATGAGGATCTTTACAGAGCTTTGAACAAAAAACCCACCTGCTACCTGGATCCAGCAACAAGTGAGAAGACAAGCTATAATGAGCTGAGGAGGAAGTGCACAGTGGAACCTGTTTCTGGTTTGCTTCTACTCCGAGGACCAGAAACGCCTATGACAGTGAAGGGTCTTCGTGGTGAAGTCTCTATCAAAGAGCTCATGGATTCAGAACTGATAGATGAAACTGATTTGCAAAAGCTTAATCAAGGCGAACTCACCACCAAAGAAATTGAAGACAAGCTTAAGTCCTACCTCTACGGCTCCGCCTGCATTGCAGGGATCTACGATGAGGCCAATGACCGGATAATGCCTTTCTATCAGGCGATGAAAGACGGTCTGCTCATGAGGGGAACCACCCTAGAGCTTCTTGAAGCCCAAGCTGCTTCTGGTTTCATTGTTGATCCAGTCAACAATGTCTTCATGACAGTAGAGGAGGCCTCAAAGAGGGGGCTGATCGGAAAAGAGTTTAAAAACAAGTTGTTGTCTGCAGAGAAAGCAGTAACTGGATACAGAGACCCAAACACAGGAAAGACAGTCTCCCTCTTCCAGGCTATTGAAAAAGATCTTATTGAGAAAGGTCATGGAATCCGTCTTCTTGAGGCCCAAATTGCCAGCGGTGGGATTATTGACCCCAAAGAGAGCCATCGTATTGATGTCTCAGTTGCCTATAAAAGGGGATATTTTGATGAGGAGATGAATGACATCCTGACTTATGAAGGAGATGACACCAAAGGTTTTTTCGACCCTAATACTAAGGATAACCTGACGTATCTTCAGTTGAAGGACAGATGCATCAAAGATAGCAAAACTGACTTGATACTCCTGCCTCTCAGAGACAAGAAGAAGCAGAAAACCCAGGAGAGCCGTACCAATGTCCTTCGCAAGAGGAGAGTTGTGATCGTCGATCCAGACACTGGGCTTGAGATGTCGGTGAGGGAGGCCTACCATCGGGATCTAATCGACTATGACACTTTCCTGGACTTGTCAGAGCAGGAGTGTGAGTGGGAGGAAATAACCATCAAGGGGTCTGACGGCTCGGCTCGTTTGGTTATAGTGGACAGGAAAACAGGAACCCAGTATGACATCCAAGACTGCTTGGACCGCGGTATCATCAACCAGAAGTCGTTGGATATGTATCGTGCTGGAACACTAACCCTGACCCAGTTTGCTGATGAAATTACAAGCAGAACCAGCACCATTGAGATGACCATTTCAACCAGCACTGTTGATGACATGGTCACCTGCAGCAGTCCCACCCAGGCCGCACCATCTTCTCCTACCGTCCGTAAACGCTTCAACAGTATTTCTATCACTGTATCTCCCCCTGAGATGTTCGATGACCACAGCCCTGTGGGGGCTATATTCGACACAGAGACCTTGGAGAAAATCACCATCCCTGAAGCACACCGAAGAGGCATTGTTGACACTCTTACAGTCCAGAGGCTCCTGGAGGCCCAGGCATGTACAGGGGGCATTATCAATCCTGCCACCGGAGAGAGACTGTCTTTGCAGGACGCGGTGCATCACAGCATCATTGATGACAGCATGGCCACTAAGCTTAAACCTGCACAGAAAGCCTATGTTGGCTTTGAGGATGTGAAGACTAAAAGAAGGATGTCAGCAGCAGAAGCAGTGAAGGAGGCATGGCTGCCTTATGAAGCTGGCCAAAGATTTTTGGAGTTTCAGTACCTGACAGGAGGCCTGATAGAGCCCGGCACCGAACGTCGCATCACCATCGAGGAGGCTATCAGCAGAGGTTGGTTGGATGGTAAAGGGGCCCAGAAGCTTCAAGACACAAGAAGCCACCAGAAGAATCTGACCTGCCCTAAGACCAAACTGAAGATCTCTTACAAGGAAGCCATGGATGGCTGCATGGTGGAGGAAAGTAATGGGATGAAGATGCTGCAAGCCTCCTCGATTTCCTCAAAGGGAATCAGCAGCCCTTACAATGTCTCTAACCCAGGATCCCGCTCTGGGTCAAGAGCCGGCTCCAGGAGTGGATCCCGTAGAGGCAGTGTAGATTACTCCTCTAATTTCAGCATGACCTTCTCCTCCAGCACTACTACCCAAAGCACCACCTCTCACTTTTAATATACAGCAAAATAATGAAATGAAACCCAGCAGTTTCTATGCAGTTTGCTTTACTTCTGTCTTTTTTTTTCCTACCCATGAGATTTTTGGAGGTTTGCTTAAATTCTGACACTGGTTCATTTAAGTATTTTGATATTTTAAGTTTGTGGTGATTTGTTGTTATTCAATAATGTAAAAGCTTAAGAGAAAAATGTATGATTTTTTCTAACACATGCATGGTCATTGAATATATTTGTCACTGCTCATTTGAATATAAGGCTTTTTTTCTAATTCAGAATGTTATTTTTAAATATAAGTGTTGACCCCAGCTCTACAATGGAGGCAACATTAAATTTGCTATTTTGTTTGTAGTGTGTTTCTGCTTGACTAAAATATGTTTTGTAATCTAGAAAATTCTGTTTTTTGTCTTTATTTTGACAGAGATTTAGCTGACAATACTGACCTGACTTTTTAATGATTAATCATGGTTTTTTTTTGCAACCTAAATGTTATTCTCAAGAGATTCTAAATAAAGCATTCATAGCAATTTTGAGTCATACTTTTCTTTATAAGTTATAAGCAGGATGTTTGCAATGTTAACTAAAAGCTGAAGCAGTTCACTATATGAGGAGAGACCGCTGATTCAAAAGCAGTTTCTGTTGTTACCTGTGGATGGCGCTATCCGTCTGCCGTCTACAAATCATTTTACCGAAGATGAATGGGGGGGAATCACATTTTCTTGAAGTATATTAAAAGCAGGGCATATCTTGGAGAACTGAACAGGAAATCACCATCATGCACGAGGCGTTTTGAAAGATGAGAAAACCATATTCCACAATCATCTTAAAGTTTAAGTAAGTTTCTTTGGAGGTCTGAAGACAGCTTTACTGCTTGTTCAGACAACACAGACAATAAGGATGTTAAAATAAAGTAAGATCTTGCAGTTTTATAATAAATGATGTAATATCTGACATTTAATAATCCTGGTTTAACATCATAATACATCCTGCTATTATTGTCCATCATACCATTAAACCAATATAATATGTTTGAACAGAAAAGGCATTAGAGCCCTTTGGAGTTACGAGTGTGTTGGGCACCATAAACAAAGCTGAATTAACATAATCTTTGTCTAAGGTATAAGGACACAGAACAGCAAATGTCTTCATACTGCCGTCCGTGCCTATTCAACTTCCTAAATCAACTTTGTAAAACCTTATGGTACTAAGATGTTTTACTTCTCCAAAATGTTTGGTTTTTGAGGTGGTCCACTGAGGGGTTGCTGGTAGGAAGTCGCCGTCTGCGTGTGAGGGGTGATGGTGAGAACAAATGGAGAGGAGGAGGCCAGAAGAGGGGAGGTAGAGTGAAGGGGGGAGGGAACAAGGGGAGACAGCCCTGGCGGCGCAGTGGGAGGACTATCCCATGCTAGGACTTGTGGTGGCTGCAGCGGCAGCCCGGACTGGAGGAAGTGTACCGTGCTGGGGGACTGAGCAGCTACAGCAGCAGAAAGTTCAGGAACTGTGTGAAGACAGAAAAAAAAAAAAAAACAAGAACCGCAGAAAAGGGCAAAAGGACGAAGTGAGCGCCCTGAAGCGGCTGTGACCGACCTGAGAGCAGATTCCAGCAGAGGAAAATGAGATTCTCAGCCTGCATTAAGCCTGTATGACGGGCTGAGGGCTCTTTGATTAGGACTCCTTCTCTTTCAGCAGCTCTTACTGACAAAGAGGAAAACAGAGAGGGACACAAACGAAGACTCAAAGTACTCGCTTTCAGTTTGAAAAAGGTAAGGCACGATGCATTTGAACTTTTCCATGGTCAATCATTAGCATGGAGGGTTTCAAAGTCAGGCAGGGCAGTTTCTTAAAAGCAGGATTAGACTTCTACACACTGCGTACTACCTCTCAGCCCTTATTCCCCCCCTTCTCTTTAGCCCTTTGCTCAGGAACATTTCACTGAGTTTGCCCATTTATTCAAAGTGCAAAACAAGCCACCGCTGTCTATATTTACTTTGGCTCTGGGTATGAGTGTGTGTTTGTGCTCCAGCACTCTCAAGACAGAGAAGGGAGTCATTCAAACTGACCAAGCACTGATGTTGTGACCCCCCCCCCCTTTTAATGTGAAAGAGTATCATTTACAGCCTTTGAATTAAACCCTCTATAGCTTAGCTTGATTTCTGTCAGCCTTTTTTAGCTTTTAAATGTCCTCTTCAATAAATTGTCTTTTGCAGTGGCTCGTATTCTAGGGTTTCTTGCTGTTGTGGGCATGGTGTTCTGGAGACCTCTATAATGTGAAACATATGGGGCCATTACTTTGGAAGACTTGTCCCAAGTAGGCTCTTGAAGAAACAGGACATTTGTGTTCTTTCTTGTCTCTTCAGACTTTGTTGGTGGCTAAATGGTGAAGACAATCAGACTTGAAACAGTTAAACTTGTTTTTTCTTTGAGCAGCAGCAGCTGGGTGCTATTATGGGTCTTAAAGCTGTGCTTTGGAGGGAAGCCATTGTCGATGACATGTACAAGCATCCTTACATCACAGCACTTCTTAAAGTGAATATCAGACTGTCCCGTTCCCTGTTTGGAATTGAGACACACACCTGCATTTATGCCTTCCTGCACAACATCCTTTCAGGCAACATAGACATTGCAGGTTGCGCTGAACATTTTGCAGGCTAAACTCTCTCAAGATTACCTTTAATTACAGACCCTGCGAGAAAGGAAAAAACATCTTTGAACCGGTAATTACAGATTTTTTGCAAGTTCTTTTTGGGGTCAGATTTGTATGAGCAATATGTCAGCTTAACTCAACAAAAGTTAAAGAGCACCAAAGCATACCAAAGTGCTTCACAAAGGGACAAAAGGATGGAGAGTAAGAAGAAAACTTGACACCTATACATTCAATTTAAAACATGAAAGACGTAAAAATGTTAAAACTCCAAATTAAAACTTAAATTAGAAATGAAAAGCCCTGTTTTAAAAAGTAGGTCTACTTCCCTTTTGAAAGAAAACAGAGAGCGCTTGTCATTTCTGCCTCTAAGAACTGTTCATAAGAGACCCAAAATTACAGTTTTATTTCACTGATACCAGGCGCCAATAACAATGAATATGGATCCTGATAATGCAGATTGGACAGGTGGGATGGGGTTGTGTAATGTAAGCAGTGATCCAACCGCATGGGACGGAGCATTGGGGTATTTTTCACTTTGTCACAGCAGTGCCACGGCCACTTGGCAGACATGTGTAAGCCATTAAACCGAAAGAAGGAGAAGGACGGAGACTGAAAGCAATAAAGGGGAAAGAATTGCAAGAAAATGGGGAAAGAAAAAGAGAAAACGAGGGAGGGAGAGTGGGAACATAATCCATTTTGGAACGCATTCCTCTATACCTTGGGATAGAAAAACGGTAATTAGGGAGCACTTTAGGAGCCTTTAGAGTGCGCAGAATTGCTCCAAGCTCAGGGCTGTCATTTTTATTCCCTTCAAAATATCTCATGAAAATGTGAGACAAATACACGTTAGAGTTCCAGGGTTACTACATAAATCTGCTATAAATACACGGACTCCCTTTCCTGTGGCTTTTTCTCAATAGTTCTCATGGTTTTGTTTATTTCAGTTTCTTCGGCAGTCGATGGGTGTCAAAGCCACAGCGCAAACATATATAGAGCCCCTGACAGGAAAAGGCCAGAACAAACTGTGGCCTTGTCCCTCTCAGGGCCCTTCAGTCAGCCTGTTATGTCACTGTGGACATGTTAGCCTGCAGTGTGAGGCGTGTGCTCATGCCAAGTTTGGAATAAAAGGCGGTTTGGAGCAGTGACGCTGATGGTATCAAAGTTATTAGGGGGCTATTAGGTGTGAATGCTAAATACTAATGGGGGGCTGCAGCCAGGGGAAGAGGTCAAGAGCAAGCAACGCTTTTGTTGTGGTTGTGAAGCCCCTGTCATATGGAATTTAAATTATTTAAATTGACTTTATGAATAGTTCTCTAAATGTACTGTGCAACACTACTTTAAAAAAAAAAAAGAAATAAAACCATTAGGGTCATTAGGTAAAAATGAAGTTTAATGCCGTTGAAATGCATCAGGTATAGAAAAACATTTCTGTCCTGTTATCCCCCCCACACAGGCAGCCAGACTTCCTGAAGCATTTATGACACTTAAAGGTGTTACCACAGACAAACCGTTCAGGAGATCATTAATCTGTTATGGGTCCCCCAAAGAGACAGTGGTGAGCTGTATGTGTAGCTGCTTTCTTCATAACACAGCCAGTCCACTCATGCTGAGTTGGATGAGCTTTATCGCCCCACTATGAATTCCAGCCCTGCAGTCTGTACCAGATAAAGTTGAGGTGTAACGAGGGGCATGGCGCTTTCTGAATTTGTTTTGGTACTCGACTGTGGATCTGTATCTATCAGAGTGCCCATTTTTTATTTCCTCCCGCAGAATTCCAGTTTAATGGACCTGTGAAAATATTTCAGCTGTCTCAAAATGAAGGCTGCTGCCACAACATGTCATTCATAGACTAGAAGCTGGAGCCAACAGAAGCAATTGAGTTTGATATAAGAGCGTGATGGGGAGGGGGTTACTCTCATATGTGTGGAGGCGAAATGTTTTCAATTACGTCTCTTACTAAAGTTCATCCAGTTCAATCCATTACAATATGGATTCATAACATTGAAACAGTTGGTGAGACTTGTGATGGTAAACCTTCAAAACAAACCATTTTCCTTCCCTAATTTTGACCAAGATTTGTAGCAATCTGTATTTCGTCTTCCATTGGTTTGTACAAATATGTAAAAGTAATCTGCATGATGAGGCAACACTGAAATAACCAAAGCAAAATAAAGCTGGTGAGCCTACAGACGTGAAGCAACCAGCTTGATCACATACGAACAAATTCTTTCATAGATGGACTCGGTTGCTGGAGCTCAACCAGCTTGGCAGCGTCTCATTATTTGTGACAGATAGGCATGTAGCGTTTTTGCCAAGTGTGGTCACCATAACAGACTCGCAAATGAAAACAACTGTGAGGTCACTTTTCACCGGATTAGGCCACGGTTTACCCATAAAGGATCTGATTATCTGACGTTAGGTTTTGGAGACAGTTCTTAAGCAGTTAAGCGACATATTACATGATGCCATCTTCTTTCATCTTGTGGTTTACCTGCCCATACAAAATGGAAGATTGCGTACAGAGCAGGCCAGGTGAAGGGTGTGGCTCCTGAAATAGAAACAGGCTTCATCCTAGCCTTCCTGATTCGTCTTCCCAGTGTTTTCTTTACTCATAACACGAATGTCTGATTTATTTATTTTCAGCGTTGTTCTAGGTAATTGAAAGAAAGGCATTTGGAGCTGCTCCCAAGTGATGGTCATGCAAGTGTGAACGTGGCTGACAGCACCCACGCAGCCAAGATAGTCAAGCTCTTACCTGCAGGGGTTGGAGCTGGGGGAGCCAGACACACCCTAATCCCCCAACATCCTGACCTTAGTAAACCTGTTGCGGCTTGTTCACAGGAGACCTGGCTACCCAGTTTCTCCAATCTCTCTGCCTACCCC